CTCGGGACCACTTGCATTCATAATCACTTTAAGTCTTATCAGCGCAGAGGTGCCTGCAAGGTGGCGTATTTCTTTTGTAACTCTATCCTCAAGAAGGAACCCACCACGTGTCCGCATAATTACAGACCGGTCAGCATAACTTCCACCTTCGCTAGATTGTTCGAGAAAGTTTTAAAGCAAAGGACTGTACATCATTTCGATGAATTCGGTATCATCTCTGATTGCCAGCATGGCTTTCATAAAGGCAGATCTACTGTTACTGCAGTGCTGCAGTCTCTCAATGACTGAACAGCATACCTAGACCATAATCAAGGTGCAGACGTTGTTCACCTAGACTTCGCAAAGCCACTTGATAAAGTCTCCCATAACAAGCTTATCAATAATCTGGCACTAGTAGGTGTTCATCCTCGGATCATAGCCTGAATTAAAGCCTTCATTAGTGATCGATCCTTTGTTGTTCGCGTCAATGGTATCTTTTCCGAATCTGCGCCTGTGTTCAGCGGTGTATGGCAGGGTTGTATTCTGTCCCTCATCCCCTTTGATATCTTTACATACGAATTGCCAAAGTTAGCTGGCCTGCGGGGACTTAAATGCGTTGCATTTGCGGATGGTTTTAAGCTCTACTATCCAGTCTACTCTAATTCTGACAAGGAATTACTTCAGAATGCTATCAATGATATCAGCTGCTGAGCAGCGCAATGGAATTTGCCCATTTCCCAAGAGGAAACCAAGGTTCTACATTTAGGTATAGTTGTTGTTGACCCCTCACATTCAATCGATGATGTACGGTTAGAGGTGGTGAATTAAATCAGAGACTTGGTTTTCCTCATCCGTAGCGATCTGAGCTTCTACGAACACTGTTCTAGGATAGCCTACAAAGCAACAGCTCTCACATTCAACCTGTTCAGAGCTTTGACAACTAAGGACTCCCTTGTGCTCCTCAGAGCTTACATAACCTACGTCAGACCCCTATTGAAATATAGGACCGCCATATTCAATCAGCACAAAGTGAAACTTACCATCACTTTGGAGAGGGTTCAAAATACTTTTTCTCGAAAACTTTTCCTGAGAGTACTCGGTTTCAAGCATGATCAAATCTCTTCTGGAGTAACACGGGACTCTAATTTCAATCTTGAAACTTTAGCGCTCAGAAGTAGGAAATTTGATTTGATAACATTCTTCAAGATTTTTCGTGGTCATGCGGGGTTCAAGCCAAATAACTTGCTATCCTTCAAGGAATCGAGAACTAGGGGGTGCCCTACAAAATTTTCAATTGCCAGGGCTGAACGCAACGTCAGACGCCTCTTTTTTGTTAACAGAGCTAGCTCGGAGTTTACTAGGCTGCTTAGACTAGGTAATTCGACGGACAAACTAAGTTCTTTCAAGAAACCTTAGAAAAGTATTTTACATCCCAATATTCTTTGTTATGTCCTCCGTTTTTTTTTTGTTTTTTCTTCTCTCTTCTTCTTTCAATCTGGTAGTTCTTAGTTAACTTTAGATTGCCTAGGAACTGCTCCTCTTGTTCCCCTGGGCTCTTATACTTTCCGTTATTTTAGCATAGGTGTTATCCTGTGCAATAAACAATTACATTTACAATTACTTACGGTGAATGGCAAGACCAGACTCCACGCACAAGGGGTGGGGTTTGTGCGAAATAAATGATTGAGCGGAAAGTTATAACTTCTGTCCCCGTGGTCCTAAAGCGTTCAAGCTTGGTAGAAGTACAGCGGCAGGATGGAAACACCTACGATGGGTGGCGTGACCGGACTCCACCCACAAGGGGCGGAGCTTGAGCGGAAACTCATAAATCCTGTTCCTATACTTTTCCTGATTTTCCTGAACTCATTCACTCGAGAACTAATGTTTAGGGCCCTCGGGTCCATGTACGATGGTATACATCCTAGTAAGGGAAGGAATAAAAATTTCCAGCCGCACACTCTTTCGCATAGACGAAGAAAGTTTGATCTCATCCTATTTAACAAAATTCTCTATGGTCATTGTGGTCTCAACCCTGGTCAGTTTTGTGTTGCACGGCCCACGGTTACCAGAGGTGCTCCCATTAAACGGGTTATCCCGCGAGCTAAGCACAGCCTACGATTTCATTTCTTCACCGCAAGAGCTGACAGGGACTATTTCAAACTTGCTAGATCTATAACCTTTCCGTTAAGTATACATGCTTTCAAAAACTCAATCGACCGTCACTTGGTTCCGTAGAGTACCAGTTATTATGCTGTTCTTTTTTTAGTCCTATGAATTAGTTTTTATGTTTGTTTACTTTTTTCATATATATAGACCTAGAACGTTCAAAATAGTAGGAGTACAGGCGGCAGGCTGGGAACGCTAATGGTGAACGGGTCTCCACCCAAAAGGGGCGCAGTTCGTGTGAAAAACTTAAAGTTGGACCTAGAGCGTTCAAATTTGGTAGAAGTGCAGGGGGCACGATGGGAACACTTATGCTGGGCAGCAGGACCGGACCCCGCCCACAGTGTGCTAGTGGGCGGGGTTCGGGTGGAAATTCATAACTCCTGCTCCCGTGGACCTAGAGCGCTCAAATTAGATGGGTGTGCAGGTGGCAGGATAGCAACATTTGTGGTGGGTCGCAAGACTGGACTACACCCACATGGGGCGGGGTTCGTGCAAAAAATTCAAACTTGGACATAGAGCGCTCATATTCGACAGAAATACAGGCGGCACGATGGGAGTACCTATATCGGGCGGCAGGACTTAACTCACCTCACAGGAGGCGAGGCGTGGGCAAAAAATGGTAAATTAGACCTGAAGCGAAATTTCGAAACTTATCATTAGGTTGAATAAGTAACCGAGTTATCAAACACACAGTACCCATGGAGGTTTGTTCATGGCGAACGCGCCGCCCCTCGCACGAATTGTGTTGGGTGTTCATGTTTGGCTGAGATGAATAACTCCTGTTCTCATCTACCGAGGCCTCCAGATTGAAAAAGAAGCAGGCGGGGAGGCCATTCAAACACGGGAAGGATGGAAGCCCGGCGTCAGCCGGGCGAGCCGACTGATAGCAACATATAACATGAAAGTATGTAAATTGAACAACTGATTGAGGTGAATTATATGAACTTCCGAGAAGTTTACAAGAATGAACACCGCTCGCGAGTGAACCTAATCAGTTTCGATATGACCGCTCACTTGATTTCCCAAGAGGGTAGTAATCGTATTACCAGTTATGCGAAAGGCACTCTGTATAGCACTGACTTGTTTTCTCGAGTGCGAAAGAATGAACGGTGTAACCTTCGCAATGAAACAGAGAAAGCAAAGCAATAAACCATAAAGAAAGTCGAAAGAGGAAGAGAAAGTGAAAGGGCGATCGAATATTCAGCAAAACTAAAATGAAGCGCTCAGAAGCCGGGGGGTCACGATTTTGTGATCCGAGCACGTTTGTTGAACCGGCTGCGGATCCTGTTTGGCAGTCAAGTCGAGTCGGCCCAAGGTGATGGCTGAGGATCTGGCAAAGTATAATCATATTTCCCACAAACTGATTCCCTAAATAGCGGGCCTCTGAAACGTTACTTCACCCAGATCACGTACTTTCAGGCTACGACGAAGTAACACGACGAATTAGAAAGATCGTAGTCTGTGGTGAATGTTCTAGTTGGGAGTGTAGAATTCAATGCCTTCCTCATTTCAAGTGTCTTGTTGGCATAGATTCAATAGCTTATTTACGAGCGTTCAGGGATCGGACGAGATCCGCCACTATCTTTCTTCAGTGCTGTAAAACCCATAAATACGATTTCATTTAAAGCTTTGAAGAATTCACGGAAGTGGTCAGTTCCGCTACCGCATTCACAAGGATTCGCAAGGAAATATCGATATTTTATATCTTTCAGCATTCTTAAGACGTTGAACTTTTCCGTTCCAAGTAGATGACAGTGGAAATCGATTACAGCAAATTGACAACTATGAAGATTCGAGTAAAGTTTCTCTGCCTGAAAGAATAACTGTATTGGATGCTGCGTTGCTGCCCAGACATAAGCCTTCTTTTGTCAAGACCTGTAGGCAGTAGCACAAGGGGCAAAAAATAATCTATAGAGATATCAGAAGGTCGTTGGCTGCTTAAACGAGTATATTTGGCTTACGAACAATTTGAAAAGGAGGAAATGATTACGGTGACTTTCAAAGTCATGAAAGAAGTCATCCATGTGGCAGTAAATGCCATCAAAGACACTATTTGATACTTTATCGCCTGGTATTTTTCGATATTTCCAGTATTGCTTCAAATAGGCGGGGTGAGGAAGTGTCAAGTGGCGAGCTACCCCACACATGGTCCGAGGATCGAATCTCACATATAGGTTGAAACCCAACATGACTTCCATTCATACTGGTCCAGTCAGTTAGTACCGAATACGCCTGGGAGACAAAAGTATTGACTTGAACTCTGTGCTGCCCGCTAAACTAATTCTCGGGACGACCTATTACGCAATCACACCCCATCACGATTCTGAATGGAGGTGCAGGACAAGGAGCATCTCGAATGAGACTTTGGCCAGAAAGCTTTATTCTTAGAATATCATCCCTCATCTGGAAGCGCTAGTAGGGAAATGTTCGATGCTTCGAAGCTGAGCTCTCAAAACAGTTAAGCATAATATTTGGTGTAAGACATATATTACTGCTCTTGAGGAAACTGAGTAAAGTTGTTAAGAAAAAGGTTTGTCCAACTTTTTATAGGTCGGATCTGGATGAAGTTCATCACGAATAAAACTTCATTGCGTTTGGCCACCGCCCTCGGAGCGACTGAAAACCAGATCCAGTTGTAAGATTAGCGAAGGAGATTGCCCACCACGAAACGTTTGCTGAAGTAACACATATGCTTCATTCCATGCTATCATACCTTCTCATCGTACTCACTTCTGTTACTGCGCAGTAAGTTTATCCATATGTTATGGAATTATAAGCAGGTTACCACCCAGTATCAAATTCCTTTTAGAAATGATCTAGAGCTGTTTGACAACTTTCTCAAAAGTTTCTTCAAGATGACTTCGAATTATCGTCTGACACCCGTTTCTCAGTCAAATTTCGCTTCGGTATTTTTTTGCTCAGATATTCAGATATTCATTCTCAATTAAATATAAGCACTGCTTGTTCAGAGGCCGCTTACTCATAAAATGGTTGACAGAACTGAATACAGCGTAAATCGCAGAATCCTTTCAAAAGTAAGTATGAGCATTCATCGCTTTTTGTCTCTCACCTGTCATCGTTTTCTTTTTCGTTATGCTCAAATTATTCCTTTTATTGATCATCTACGTCATTTCTCTATATTTACCTTTATCAAACGCGTAGTGTGTCTTTAGGTTCGACCTTTCGAGAGCTCCTGAGGGAGGAGGGTTAGAGAAGGGTAATAGGCACCACAGTATTGCTTTTCCGATGGCCGTTGTTCAGTACTGTTTGGTTGGCGTTTCCCACGAAAAAACAGTGTGGGTTACTTGTCAACTGCCAAATTAGGTATCACCCGTATATACAGGCTCGTATGTTATTTGTTAGGGGTATACTGTACTCTCCTGGTCGGCCGGGGCGTCTCAGGTTGCGATTCTCTAGCTTTTTTTTTNTTTTTTTTTATTTTGTTATATTTATATTCATAACCTGGGAAAGGTGAAATAAGCTGGGCAGTATACCGGCCTGCTAAATGCAGATAGGTGAAGTTGCGGGCAAAATTCCCAGTGCTACTGGGCGCAGAAACCAGGTTCTCCGTTCCCATGAACCTTCAAATGAATACTCAGGGTCTTCAACAGATCACTGTTTGATAAGGAAATCAGAATGTACTACCTGAAGCTCCCCAAAAAAGCTGTGAGTGGTCAAAGTCTACTTGTAATGGAGATCTCGCCGAGTATAGAACAAGAAACCATTTCGTATTTGAGCCTTTTGGAGGAACAGCAAAGAAAACTTGATTGAGAAAGTCAAACGATTTGTTTTTGAACTTTAGTTCCTAGCGATTGACCTTGGTTTTCATGAGGTGCTCTGAAGCAGCTTGAATCTACTTATTTCCATACATGGGCATGGGCATTGGGTGATCATAAGTTATGCCTAGTCGGTCAGGGCACCTGCCATATTAACTGCATGAACCTATGGGCTTAACTCACCTGTTGGACATGAACTTGCTCGAATCGGCTGTCAATCTCAGATTCGCACGAAGTAAAGTATTTCTCTAGAAAAAAACATTCGGAGACCTTGAACGCATCCGTCAGCTTCGCATCGCCACTTGCTCGCTGAGTCATACGCTTATCCAGCTTCTGCTTCTCCAAAACCGGTTCAGTTGTTGAGGGCCACCTATGGAACTGTTGTTACGTTCGCCATTCCTTAGTGAAGTTGCATTTGGTCATAGGGATGGATATATAGGCTTCCAAGCATTTGAAGATAATGAACTTGAACAGCGGTAGGGGCCCGTAGTTGACGAAATACAAAAGAGAGCATAGAAGTAGAAAGATTTCTAAAATTCGTGGAGAAATCATTTGACAGTAGTGTTTGCCACATATTTTGAAGCAGAATAGAACTAGTGTCAAATGGTGCCGCGGTATGAGATCTAGGTCAGCCGTCGATGAAATTCTTCTCTGGTTGCTGCCAAAGGCAATTTTCACTTCTTGCTGGAAGTCAATGATCTCTTGAGGTGTAGGATACTGTAAGGTGGTGCTGCTACCTTATGTATGATCCTCGGTCTATTCTCAGTCCGACAGCCACTTGTTTCCCCAAACCTTCCATCTCTTCCTTCCTTTCCGCCTCCATTCAAAACGGTAATTATTGTATTTAACCACTATTACTATTATAACAACGCTTGCAACTACTATGTCATGTACTAATATACTGCTACATTCTGTTCTGATTATCTATCTTTCTATTCTTCGTCCTATTTCTCATCTACATTTGCATATCTGAACGGATACTTAACGCCGAATTTTTCTAGGACGCCGTGTTTCTTATGAACTGGTTTAAGATCTACTTGTACGCTTTTTTCGTCTTCTTGAAGTAGGGCATCGAGTTTCGGACCCATCTTATATATGTTTTCACGTGTGAAAGGCCGGACCTAGAGGTATTCCCTTGGAAAACCCGTCCGGTGCAAAAGCACCCACTGTATGCACGAGGCTAATCGTAATCCATTTCGGCGTAATACATGCAAGCGTGTTTTGCCAGGATCACATGAAACACAAACACATTTGTCTCTTTTGACATATGATCGAAAGCACACATAATCGTGATCCGATGACATTCCCAAGCAGGTATCCATGTGTGTAATGGGATGATTTTGGAAATAGATCAGTGTACGGGTTGTTCCAAACCGCTTTGTAGGGGCGAGCGGTGTAATGGCATGTTTTTCACTATGACACACACACATATAAGGTCCAGATATCAAGTCCCGAATGTAAACTCGCCCAGACCAATCAAGCGTTCCATTCTTCTCGGATTGATTAGAGGCTTATGTGGGGAAAAACTCTAACTTGTACACCGGCTGACCACCGCAGGATAGTATTAATATGCATTCGAACTTTTTACGATTCTGAATGGAAGCCGAATGCAGGGTGCAAGCGAAGCGGTGGTGATCATTACTAAAGGATTCATCTTTATACTTTATATCGTTCTGTGGTGATTTCAAGGATCGAACTAACTGCGCCGGTGGATATTTGTCAGAATAAACGAAATCGAGCCTCGAACGAGATCGGATTTCATACTTGTGCATTCCTATGGGGGATGCCGTTGAGCCGGGCAAGGTCGACGTCATGGAAGGAAATTCCGTCTGTGTACGCATATAACAAAGATAAAAGGGATCTTCCTAATAAGTTTGGAAAATATTTTACAGTAGAAATGATCTCCTCTTTCTAAGTGCAAATAATTTCCACTTGGTGGTTTTTGAATAATTTTTCTCTCTAAAAGTATTAATGTTTAATTAGAAAGTTTACACACTGAAAAATCTCTTGTTCCCCCTTCTGTGGGTAATAATACCAAGAGCCGCACATATGTAGAAATATGTAGACTGTAGCCAATCAATTCCATGCTTCATTACTCTGTATGAATGTAAACCTTGGAGAGCCAATCGCCACTGTTGAACAATCGGTCGATCAGCCAAAGAGCCGACTGATTGCTCAACATTGCCTATCATTGTGGATCATGTTTACTACTTTCAGATGGTATTTTTTTCAATATTTTCCATTTTTTGTAGATGTTCTGTTTCGGCAGCAGTTGTAAACGCGAAAGTCACACAAAGAAGTGCAGTATGAAAGAATTTGGATTGAGATCGTATTTGATATTAGCCCTGAGTAACCACCTTTATACAACATTTCAGGTTTATTTGTGGTTTAATACTCGTCATCACCACTCACGATCCTGTCCGACGAGTTTTTGTTTGTAAATGGACCTTGTGTAAGCGGGATAATGGGCGTAATTCAATAATGACACAGCTTCGAGACAGCTCACTGAAGCAACCAACAAGATGCAGCTTGCGGCGAGACAACTAGCTAAGAATCACCGCGCGTTGCCAGCAGATTAAACGCTATGGGAACGCCGCAGTGGTCCATTCTAGGTCGAATAGAGGCTATTGAGAGAGGCTTCTTCGGACGTTTGCGAAAGCCAGCCTCATTAGTTTCTGTCGCTGTTACAGCACTGCTCAACAGTGTTGAAGCCATCTTCTATCCTACAGATTACTGTAATACTTGGAATTTGTCAAGTTTATCGGGCCAATGGTTCAAATCCGCCAGTACCATCTGTCAGAGCTAACTAACCTACACAGCAAGAATGAGAGCCTGTATAACAGAAATCATTTCAAATACCAAATTTATTAGGCCATTTGCTACAATATTAGATCACATATAGCACGATTGCGCTGTTGAAGCCGTGAAATTTTGTGATGTGGCCGCTCGATGCGCGCGACAAAGTCGCCCTCCATCTCCACGGTTCTCACTTGGATATGGCTTATGACGCATGAATATGTTGATGTTTAGGTGTTCGAAAGTGATCTCGTCCTAACAAAGCCTCAAATGGACGAAGTTATGGACAACTTCAATGCAAGGATTACAGGTAAGTTCATGAGTGATTCGAAGACCCAGGCACCAAGGCTTCTCAGTTTTTTTTATTACACTAATGGAAAACGAAGCCATATAAATTGCAGGCTTGTAGGAAGAATAGGTGAAGGTGAAAAAATTTTTGCTTAATTCAGGACGAAGGCGACGAAACAAGAGGAACGCCGCCATCATTGGGAAGAAGTTTCGCTGGCCCAATGCTGTTATTCCCTACGAATTCAAGGACAGCGACAGCAACAACAGTAAAACTTTTGGAAATGGACAATTGATTTGACAAAAATCAATTCAAATCAGTAACTGTGAATGCTGCAGCTGACTGGAAAAAGCTGATCTGGAGAGGAATGAAAGAATGGCAAAAAGAGACCTGTATTCGATTCGTGGAAAGGACGAACGAAACGGATTACGCAGTTTTCTTTAAAGGCGCAGGGTAAGGTTGTCATAATTATTTAAAAGAGTTATGAACTAGTAAAAACCCTAAAGCAAGTATCAATTAATCATACCCGCCCGACAACTTGGATATGCTTAAAGTTGCGCAGCGGCATGGTGCTCGTGCTGGAGAAGCTCTCTAAGCTAGCCAAATGGGTGGAGACTCCAAACATTGTGATAAATATCCCAAACCCCTCTGTACAGCCACAGAATTCTGCTGAAAAATTGGTGTTTAATGTGATATGGATCATAACATCATAAAAGATAAGGTTTTGGAAACAAACTCATCCGAGAAATGCGCTCCCTTCCAATTCCATCAGAATCGTAGTGACGTACTGAACGCGTATGTGGTCTATATAATGAGTTGCGGTGGCTAGTTGGAGTACAAGTCAGTGCTTTTATCCTCTCAGACGAGTCTGGTGCCAATTAACCGACCTCAGAGGCACAGTGAGTTTGGTTAGCCTCAGCAGATATCGAGCAGGTTCGAACCCATAAACATGCGTTTGAAATAGTGCGTTACTCGCCTCTAAATTACCTCTGTCCACATGCAATGGTGGTGTACTGACAGGACGGTAGACCAGTAGGGATTGCATGAGTGTTCGGATCCTTAATGCACACGTTCGTACCACATACATCATCACCTAGGAGAATAATTTCGTCCTACGCAGTGTGAAAGGAGCAGAGTGTTAGTGATGACTGGGGCGCCACCACGCCATTACGGTTCTGAATGAAAGTCGAATGCGAGGCGCATCCCAAAAGCAAGGCTGAACATTGCCCACGACTTTGATCTCCATCCTTTAGGACTTTAAAGGGTTTGGGTATATGAGTTCAGGACTATTTGTGGTTTTGTGGAGAAGGTCTATTTAGGTGCTACTCAAACGTAGGACGAACTGGAGGACGACAATACATCTCGATTGGTTGGGGTTGCGAATCAGTGAGTTTTAGATAACTTGAGTTGTCACAATTACGTGAAAACCAAGGGAAAAACATCCAATGAAAAACTTTTTTGACGCAGTAGGCTAGTTCTCTGTCTTGAATCTGATTCTTGAACTGAAATCTGGAATTCGACTCTCGGATAGAGCAGAATTTTTGCAACTAGCAAACTGGGTCCACGATTCTATTAACACCTACAGCCAACTATGGCTATTTCGAATCGTTGTCCTCAATTACAAACAAAGCAGTACCTGCAAAACTCTCGCTCCCGGGTGGGCTCGAACCACCAACCTTTCGGTTAACAGCCGAACGCGCTGCCTATTGCGCCACGGAAGCACTGCTCACACCCCTTCAGAGGGACTCAAAAACACATGATATGGCGAAGTTTTTTAATGTCTGGTACTAATAAGATTGCGAAAATTCGAGCCGAAAGTTCGATCTTACCATAGAAAAGGATTTTGGCAAAAATGAAATGTGGAGGGTACTTCGAAAGCTGTCTATACTACGAGGTGAACTCCAGGATAAGTGTTCACATACAAGAGTGAATGAGTAATACGAGCAGTTTAATCAATACAAAAAACTACAGTATTCGGAGTACAGAATGCCTACAGTGAAAAATATAGTTTAGAGAGGTATTGTTGCCCATGAGATCGGACACGCTCTAGGATTTTGGCACGAACAAAGTCGACCGGACAGAGACCAGTTCATCAACATCAATGAAGATGCCATTAGCTCAGGTACAAAGGTACGTTCAGACCCTTGGGTGTTGTCAGACTAGGGTTCTGTGTGGTACAGTAGAAAGCGAACCGTCTTCATCCGAAGAAAGGTGTCACAATAGGTATACAGCCATATGGATTCTTCAGAGGACTTTCTAAAGACTCTGTAGCCTCTGTAAAAGAGCTGTGGTCTGCACTTCCCCGCCCACCCATTCATTGTAGGCTGCCCTTTGTATGATCGAAATTGATATCATCATTATGGCAATAAGGGTAATTTTTCAGGGTAATTTTGAAAAACGAAGCGATATCATGGATTCGGATATTCCTTACGATTTTGGATCCGTCATGCACTACGCTCCACAAGCATTCACCAAAGATTGGCACTTAGTTACTATTGAAACAAAGGTATTTGTGTGCAGTTTATAGAGGAGGACCGATTCACATAAGTTGACAGAACTTCTATTTTTGAACTGAGTAGTTAAGTGAAGAAAAGTATGGAATCAGTGGCTGGAGAAACGAAGCGTTATGGTTTCGTAGTACTTTTTTGGGTCTGTTTGTGATCCTCCAGAATCCTCGGATATGCTTCACACCCCTCATTCTCCCCCTATTCTTTGAGTACTTTCTCGCCAACATCTCTCCCAGAACTCTTTTTCAGTAAAAGGTTATGTATTAAATGGATATTTTCAAATTCTAACACTTTTGATTAACAGTATGTAGACCTGATTGATGGTAGAGCTTGTGACTCGTACACGANTACTTCACAACACCATTTACTTGGTAATTCAGGTATTGAGCAGGAATCGCTACATATCTGAGATGATCCGAATGGTTAGGGTTACCATTTTTGTCCAAAACAGTTGCAGTAACCCGATGGTATCTGAATCAGAATAAAAGCAGGTTCATGCCATGTGGTTCCACTACCCCTCGCCCCGTTGAAGGATCAAGTCTCTGGCTCAAACCTACTTTCAGCATGCTAAAACTTGGGTTTCCACATAGCCCATTCATCTATACCAGATTTTCCTAAGAAAGCCATGTACATCACCTGACCACCTTGAATTGCATGTAGGCTTTACTTCCATCACAACACTACTACATACAACACTCAGCCGAAGTCAATTCGAACCATGAACGAAAAATTTCCATTTCGAGGGCTTTTTATCCATAACATGCTTTGGACGAGTTCTCTGCTCGACCTGCCGATGTGCCACATGATTTCGATCCTTTACCTATTTTGACTTTTTATTTTACTTCGAAAATTTTAGTTAATTTGAATTCTTGAAATATTTCAGTTGTATGATTCAATTTATACAATTCTTCGTAAACATTGCAAACATCCAAGTCACAGGATTAACTTTTTAGGATCATCGCTTCCAACATACCATTGGACAGCGTTCTACTGTTTCCTTCACTGATGTGAAACATGCCAACCGTCTGTATTGCAGTCGTAAGTTTCTTCACTGACATTATCACTTCTTAAACAGTCAGAACAGAGAATCGCTTAAAGTCGCTCATTTTTATTTCAAAAATTTTCTTATATTTCCAGGGAGGGAGGGTGGTTTGGGTTAATATCGATCTACAGAGCAGAGGTGGTGTGGTGACAAGTGGCGCGCTATCTCATAAGCATGGTCATCGATTCGAATCATGGACCAATACTCATACAGATCAGCTAAGCTTCCATCCGTTCGGAGTCGCCTAATCGGTATGGACTAGTCTGGGAGGGTATAAGCCCTGATTTGAGTTCTGGCTGGCCGCCGCAAGTCAATGTGGATGCCATATACACCTACAAAGCACCAGGATTCTAAATAGAGGTCAAATGCGGGATGCATCTTTAAGATAGAATTTATTAATGACGAAGACTTTATCCTTTATTGATCTACCGTTATAGATCATCAGATTTTTTTGGGGTACTACATAGTATATTCTATTAATATCAAACCCTATCCCTAAAAGTACTAATCAAGATGTAAATGTAGCTCAGACTAAATCTCACAGTTTTTCAAGAATATTATTGAACCTCTCGTGACATTCAAAGTATCGTGTAAAATTTGAGGTGTGTGCCAGACAAAAATATCGTGTGCAAATGGAGGATACCAAGATCCTCGTAACTGTGACAGATGCAAATGTCCGCCTGGACTTGGAGGAGTTCTTTGTGAACGAGTGGCTGATTCTACACGTGAGCACTTCTTTACTAGTAGCATCAGTTAAAATTATATTTTGTGGTTATCAGGTTTTGCTAAGAATACATACAGAAAATATGCACAGCTGTATCGGTAGCGAGCTAAATGTAATAAGATCTAAGGGAATGATATAGAATTATTCAAAATAATCAGAAAAATGAAGTGGGTGGGAGCCAAGAGGAGGAAGAAGGCTCTGAGAATGGCGTTATTGAGGCTTTAAACTAGGCGACGATACCCAACCCTTTCAAGGTAGTCACGCCCACAAATGGACGCATCACCATGGAATCTTAGTAAATAGAAAGACAAACTGAGATCGAAGTTGATGCAATGACACTAGAAGAAAAAAATATATATGTATATACTGCTCTTGGATCGGCTTCATTGAAATAGGGAAAAGCTCATCCAGCAGTTCTTTGATAGTGTTCTCAAAATCTGCTTTAATAACAGGGTTTTTTTTNTTTTTTTTGCGGAATCCACAGTTTTTTCAAGTCCTTCCCGATTACGTGAGCCGCTGAGCAACTTTACTTCAATTTTCGTACCATAATGTATCGTGCAATTGTTAGACTATAACGTAGATATTTTGACAAGCATTTAGCTGGATGTGGTGGAGAGCTGTTTGCATCATCCCAATGGCAAATACTTCAAAATTCTCAAATTGGAACGTGCCATTGGAGGATATACGTATGTTCTCACGCCATTTGCTCATTCCCCTATTTTTATCCTTCCTTCAATGTTAACCTTCAGGCACCCAATGGTCGTATCAGTTTCGAGACGTTGTCGACTCACTTCGTCTGTGATTCATCATGTTCCGACAGCTATTTGGAAATCAAACATACAAAAAATCTCGAGCAAACTGGATTTCGGTGAGGATTTTCCCACAAGTGGCGTGGTTTTAACTTTCAAAGGCACAGTTCACATAACTTCGAGGTATCTGATCCCAGTGAAATAGTAAGCCATAGTGTAGAGTAGTGCAAGGGTGTCGGAAAAAGCGCGAAAATAGTTGAATACCAAAAATATAACACTTCAGAAAGGTAGCACGAAAGGGATTTGTACGAGATAGCCGTCTGGGCTCTCTCATTTATGCGTACTATTCGTCTCGTCATGTGAAAGTGCAGTAACAACAGGGCCAGGAAAACATGGCCACTTTGAGTGTCTTCGTCTAAGCAGGGCGTTTTGAAGCCCCTTATTACGCCCTGTCTAAGCCGTCTTTTGGCCCGACAGCGGCCCGTGGGGCCACAGATCCTTTATAGCGGGAAATCTCAGCAAACATTTTTATGACGAAACTGTGCCTTTAAATCACCCATGCTATTGAAGCCCTGCTCAGACGGTTGAAGCAGTAAAGCGGAAATAGAAGTTTTACGTTGACCGAGAGCTCCGCATTAGTCTAGGTTTCTGCCGAAATATTCTGGGAGCTTCCAAACAATAACTATATAACGGCAACCCCCACTTCTAAGAACAAAACACATCCGGTGCCCTCTCTCTTCGTTGTTTAGCCCTTTAGCGGCCCACCTCATAATAAGGACGCCCTCTCTACTAGTTCGAATCGGACCATTCCACTAGTGAAACCGTCTGAAATTTGTATCAAACATTGTGTCGTTAAGCCCCTCCTATGTGGTTCTGTACATACCTCATCCCAACGCTCAACAGCCTGAAATAGAATGGTCGATAATGAACGTCAATCTGGTCAACCGATTGTAATATGATGAAATTGCCGCTTATGTCATGGGCATACAAATGGAAAGCACCATTTACAGTACCTTTTGGAAGCTTTAAGAAGATCCTGGAAGGATTGTGGACGATTGGGAAATTTCCGGCAGTTACTTTCCGTGCAATCTAATAATTTAATCCAATGTAAAGAAATGTAAACTAGAGTGCACAGAACTGTCTTCTGGGTACTGTCACTAGCACACCTGATCCAGTCATTGGATGCTACTCCGAATGCGGAAAATGTATTACTTCTCAGAGTACTTTTTATCTACTTATCCTTCTAGCCACACAAACCGGATCACCTACACCCACCTTATCAGGTTGAAGGAATTGTTCGGTCTCACGCTCAGAAAAAAAATCATTTCTGATCGGAAAGCTGACCAAGAGAGTGTTCCGGTAAGCTTAGCGCAATTTCATGTCAAAACTCAAGCGATTCAACAAAAACCCCAAGTTCCGTCCTATTCCAAGGAACAAGCCGGTATCACCCGTGAAAAGAGTCTATCAAAATCAAATTCTTCTTCGATTATACTCGAACGATGTTGTTTACTGAACCAGACTAGTATGATTTAGGTTCAAGAAAAAACTGGTCTAAAACTCGGAAAAGTAAACCTCAGAAACCTATGGAAGCTTTCAGGCAGTGCTGTAACCCCGCTCCCGGTAGAACAGTTTCGCATGGTAATCAAGTGATCGTAACGAGTTTCTCCAAAACCGCTCCCTCGAACTTCACGATGCGGTATATTTTAGGTATGGTTTTCTGTAAAATCGGCATATTGTTGGCATAATACTAAACAGAGGGCGAAGATGGTGTGCGAAAAGTATAGCACTATCACACAAGCATGATCAGCGGCTTTAATCCCGATTCGTTGACCGCCTAAGCCAACCCTTCCATGCCTCCGAGGTCGGATTATTGGTACTAAACTCATCTGGGAGGATGAAAGCAATGACTTGTACGATAACTGGCCACCGTTGTATAGGCCACACATTCGAAATGTTACCACGGTCCCGAAAAGAAGTCGAATGCTTTGCGCATGCCGCAAACAACATGATTAACATCATCAACTTAATATTGTAATAATGAACAGCATTTAGATTCTGATTCCATTCCACCCCCTCCACCGGCTGCATGGAAAGGAAATGGTGGTTTGACGAATCTTCTTGGAGCCAACGAAGTTGGAATTGACAATACATTTGAGACGCTCATATTGAAGGATGTCCCCCGAGTACTTGGGTCAGTCCGCTCTTTTTTTATTTATACCTTTATTTCCTTCCTAACAGGCGCTGAACTAAGAGTGCAGACAGCGGATTTTCCCACTTTGAGACTACACAAGGCCCAAGGTTTAGTAGGGTTAAGAGGCCTCTCAAATCCCTATGGGGTTTGTTCATTAGCATCAGCTCAATTCGAGAGAATAAAGGCTTGCACTTTCTGTGTATGAAGGGATTGTACATCTAATTACTATAGTAAGCCATTAAATAGGCTTGATACGCATTCAAACGCCACTACAGTTCTGAATAGAAGTCGAGTGTTGGCGTCTCCCACAAAGAGTTCAATCATCGTTGAGAGACTTTATCCTTCATCATGTTCATTATAAAAAAATCAGCCAGAATACTGCAATACTGAAAGTGAATCCCTTTGACGATCCTGCTCTGTCCTATTCTGTTAATGTTACTACCTTTAGATACTTTTAGATAAGCATTGTGAGGCAAGTCACGCTCGCAGTACCAGCATTAGTGAATATGCGCTAGTTTGAGCAGTAATAAATACTTATGACTATATCTTCAATACAAGTAAAAGTTTATTTGCAGAAGAAGCCGCGGAGGTCCAAATTTCGCATCTCTGTTCGGATTACTTGATACGTTTTTGCCCCGAGGACCTCGAGGATAACTAACTATTCATGCCATCTCAGTGTCATTTCATATCATATTTATTATTGTTAATTAACACATGTTGTTTATTTTATAGTACGATATATTAATAAAATGTAGTAGTTAAAAAACCGGCCCTTAACTTATTTGTTATGTTTATAGTACATGTTTTTTACTGCATTCAGTTTCTGACTATAATGTGGATCACGCTGTGTAGGCTCGAATGATGCACCATGGATGAAAAAAATAGGAAGTTGATGGGTATTCGTTGGGTGGTAAACTGTGATTCAGAAGGTTCAAAGCAAAGGTGCATAGATGCCCACGATGACCACGGCAGCGAATGCTGTCTCGTAGGCAAGAATCATGTGAGGTGACTTCATTAAGCCGAATTGAATGAGCTGAAATGGGCCAGGGGTCGAAGTAGAGGGGACCGAGTCGGGAACGAAGACGTCGGGGAAGCCATGGCGCAGTGGTATGGGCATGTGCTGTGAAGAAACGAGGTCATTCAGTGAGGAGGCTCAGGTGTAGTAATCGCAGGGAGCCCCCATAGAAAATATGGGAGAGAAATCATAATTAGGAGAAAGTGCCCTTCGTGCTTCTTATCATTAGTTTTGCATATTTATCCACTGCAATATTATTTATCGATTTTCAACCTGTCCGATCGCCCACTACAGGCAGGGCTTCCCTCCTTTCCTTGATTGAAGCGGCTGCTTGGTTTCCCCTTCACTTCTAAGAACAGATCTTTCTAGAACAGGAGGCGAACTCAGCATAAACTGAGCTATGCAACTGCTATTCAATGTGGATAATACTTACGTTTCAGATTGCCGAGTCTCTGTCATTTGCCTTTGTTTTTTTCTGCGACCACTAACTCAGCGATGAGGAAGCTTATTGTCCAGCGGAAGCTCTGAATGGTACTCACTCAGCAATGTTGTGAGCTGGTTATGATATCTTTATCAGTACTAGCTATCCATGGATATAAGCCATTGCTCGAGATTACCAGGTTATTGAAGGTCGGACACGTCTTGCTGATACCGGAAGTGCACGGCTACTTCATGTTAAAAGGGACTTATTTGGGAAATAGTGTAAGCCACGCCCTCGTTTAGCAAGATTTTCCTCCTTGATTGTTCCATAGGTCTCCCACCCTGAGGGCCTCTCCTACTCAAGGATCTCTTGCAATTTAGGCGAGGCTCACATTGCACATCCTTACAAAAGCCTGGGTACTTGTCTAGAGACGCCCATAAATTCAAGAGATTCAAGAGAGACGTTTTTTTGTGCAATTATGTTTGAAAAATTCAACCACAATACCCTGGTACTGCTCTCCTGCAATTCTCTTGCACTGGAAATCCAATTAGGAAATATACTTAGCACTAAGAAGGACGGCTAAGTTTCAGTAATCAAGCTCACTGTGAGGTGTGTTGACAGAAATTTTTCTGTTTTTCAAGTAGTTTTTCACGTCTGACGTGATAAGCGCTTTTAATTGTTGCCGCAGCCCTTACATTTTCCGCGTATATTTAACAATTGTCCGGAGGAGGTGGTGCAGTGGCAAAGGGTAACGGAACTTCTCCCCTATCGCGGCATTCTCCCTTGCGGCATGCGGCAAATGTCACTGCAACTACCGTACTCACCCGCCCCCCGCCAATCGATAGGACGCGATATTGTTCGTTGATTGCCTTGTTTTTTTATTGGATTTGATCGTTTTTTCTTCTGTTTTTTTCGTTTTCATGTTTATTAGACTTGATTAATCAAAATGACTCCTCCTATGTAAGCATCGATCAAGACTGCTTTGAAATTGAAGGAAGCGGTCAGCCAATTCAAATAATTAAAGGACTCCCTACTTAATTAAAATGACTTCTCCTATGTAAGCGGCGATCAAGACCGCATCGGATTGAAGAGAGCGGTCAGCCAATTCAAATAATTAAAGGACTCCCTACCAGAAGGAAGCGGTCAGCCAATTCAAATAATTAAAGGACTCCCTACCTCAGAAACTGCGCGCTCCAATCTTCCATCGCAATCCTGCGATACGCGGCGCATGCGGCGTGTGCGACGCTGTGACAAGGGAAAAGCTCCCGGACCCTATAGGGCACATACTCTTGGGAGTAGGATCGGTTTTGTGTAACCGATTGGCTGCTTTCATAGTCCGCCGGCCGGCCGGCGTGCCGGCGGGGGCAGTGCTAGGGGGAGGAGGGAGGCAGGCAGTGTAAGGCAAGCAGTCTACGCCCCTTCGAAGGTTGTTTGTTTTAAGCCCCTCGGGGAGGCGTGGACTGTTTGCCTATCTGTCTGCCTCCCTCCTCCTCCCTAGCCCAGCCTCCGTCGGCACGCCGGCCGGCGGACTATGAAAGCAGCCATTCGGCGAATGAGGTTGTCGCGGACCCTTCGCTTCGCAGTCATTACAGCTCTAGCGTTCTTCATACAGCTCAACCGATATGCAATCATTATTTTAGGCATGACTCTACTATAAGTTTTTGTGTTCCCTGTATTTCTTACCTGCTACTACATTCTGCTACACTCCTTCGCACGCGGCGTCCCTCTCGTCGCGGCGCAATGCCGATCCAACTACACCACGCCCAACACTCACTCGAACCGCCACTGCGATTCCGATAGGCTTTCGAATGCTGGACGCATCCCAATGAAAAAAAAGGGATCGGTCAACACTCAAGTATTTCACCCTCACCATCTTAATAGAAATCGGCGTTTCTCGGACTCAAACGTTGCTAAATTTATAGAACAAGCAAGAATTCATCTATCAAACTGTCAAGCTGTGTGCAGGAAGACTTCACTTTTGCAAAATTTCGAGCTTTCTCACCAATCGAGCTGTCTTTAAAACTCGGAATAGTGCGTTTAGCACTGATATGACTTACAGAATCAATTGAATTAAAGTACAGAAAGATGATTTTTTTTGAAACACGACGCTTAATGACGACGCAGTAGTACATCACGGGTAGTAGTTTTAACAGCGAATCAAGGAGTAATTTCTCAAGTAGGTAGTATTAGAGGATTTTATACTGACAGCCAAGGTCTGACAGGCTGACATTGCGCAACCTTAGGCGGCACCAGAGGTGAATCGGTGTCCAAAAGCAGCTGATACTTTTCAGAAACACCCGTGAATTCAAGGGATGATATTCCTTTTTTTATTGTGTTGAGTCGATGGATCCCTTCTGTCCCCGTTCAGACATTCCATGCATTCGTTTACAGAGAGTCTTCAGGTGTGGTTGGCATTCAGGATGCCGACGCAGTCAAAAGTTTGTAATAAAATGCCTGAGAAATCCTTGTGAGGCGGTTCGGGTTCGCCTCTAATGAATACGCTCCTCGTTCACTCAGTGACGGCCTGGATAGCTGCCTAGAGAGTAGCCATCATATCTACTCTAGGATAACCTAGTTAGCTATTTAGGACATTCCTCAGCAACTTGAACTTCTTTTGCAGCAGTTCATGACGTGGTCGAAGAGTCGGTTGGTTGCAGTACTTGCGGATGGCCAAAGACACCTCTGGCTTGTCCGAAGAAGGCTCAGAAATGAGTCGAATTAGTGGAGGTAGGTCGACAACTCTTCCGAACCCCAGCCCCCGTAGTTCCACTAACAACGGATGGTGGACACTGATGGGTGAACCTTCGGTTTTTCGGTGATTCGATCGATCTCCGATATTCTAAGAGTTTCTGTATCAGCAGACATTTCATCATCTGGTATACAGCAGAAGAGCAGTACGGTCAAATATGACCACTAGGAAATTAGAAGAGATTTTTTTGTCTTAAACTGTTTGCAAGAAAGTTGACATGAATCGCTGATATTATTTCCTGCAATTTCCATTTTACCGAAAGTGCAGTATACAGGGTGCGCCATAAATATGGTAACAACTTATCTGACGTACGTAATCTCCTTGTTTGGAAGGTTTCCCGACATACGCACCTTCCCTTATGTTTACGATATACCTTAGCCCACATATCTACTTTGGTGCTCTCAATTCGTCAGGTTTCGAAAAACGGTGGAGTCTCGCAGACATCCACCAACCGTTCCGTCTAAGCACGTATTTGGTGGGTCCTTTGCCGGGATCGCTACTCGTTTCAACATTTCGCACATGACAGTCTCTTGAAACGCGTTACGCAAACAGACAGCGACAAACCTCAAAACGGTCGTCTTGTCTCACATACAACCTATTTTCCAATAAAATTGCTTGGGAAGGAGTACTGCGAAACCTGCAGAAGGGGAAGAAAAATGACTGCTGATTTATTTGTATTTTGTACTCCGATGAAAAGAGTCTACCCTCGATAAATAAAAATGTATCCAGATAGGATTCCGAAGTCTTATAAGCTTCTTGACGAGAAGGAGTTGGAGAGAAAAAACAAATGCCGTGCGCTACTTGCGCGCGGCACGCGCTTCGACAGACTTTTTTCTAACTGAAGGGTGCTCAGCGTGAAAAAAAGTTCAGAACTTAGAATATAATAGGTTGGCAAATAAGTCCTGCGACAAAATGGAGACCTTTTTTAAAATCATTTCTAAATTTTTTCATATCGATCAATTTTTGTAAAAATTTTTACCGACGAAGTCAGCAAACTTCTTTCATCCTTTGAGCAAATCACTGATGCCATCTCTCCAGAAGTGAGGGAGCTGTGACTCAAAGAAGCAATTGACTGCCGTTTTTAGATCACATTATCTTACGAATTTTTTTTTCCACAACAGGAAGCCCAAGAAGGCGGAGCACATGGTAGCTGAAAGGGGCAACACTCCGGGAGTACGACTGATGAGTAACCTGGAACCAAGCGGGATCGTTGAACATTTGACGTGGGTTTGAAGCGAATTTTCGACGTGCGTTGCCCCTCTGTAGGGACCTGATTTACGGTTTGATCGTCCTTCTCTAACCCCGTTGGCCAAATAAAGGGGATCAGAGGGGCGAGCGATAGCTCCGTCCATCTTATACGCGTGGCCCAGTGTGTATGAGTCTTGCTACAGAACAGAACGCAAGGGTTTCGCTAACCTTTATCTGGTGGAACGCCGCTCACTGGAGTGGATGTGTAGGACGAAAAAGTGAAGAACCTACTCATTCACTCTCTTATATACGGGCAAAATGATAAACAAAATGAGATCATTCGGTATCACAAATGAAGTCTTCATTCTGAGTTGCTTCCTTCTTTACTATACTCCCGGCTTTTCAATGATGTTGACGTTTTGATTGCTTGCTTCTGGTGGACCGATATGTGCTGTGCTGCGAAGATTGTACCGTCTTGGTGGATTTTGCTGTTCTGTACACGGAATGAGTTTGAGTTCGGGTTGTTGGCTTTCTCTCAGGGATTCTGTATCGTCGTTCAGTTCCAGAGGGACGAGTAGATTGATGGGACGCCTGAGAATGTTTCTGTTGGGCATATGCAGTTCTACTTCTCTTATGGCTCCATCTTTTCCAGGCTTCAGTGCCGAAATCCTTCCCATTTTCCATGTATTGCGTGGTAGGTTATCGTCAGCAAGTAGCACTACCATGCCTTCTCTTGGTTCATGTTTTCCTGCACGTTCTTGTGTGCTTCTCGCAAGCTACGGAGGTAGATTTTATGCCATATCTTCCAGAAATACTCCGTCGCTTTGAGTGTTGATGCAAGGGCTTCATGTGCTTGTCTTCTGGTTTGGAGACGGAATAGTTCCTCCGAGGGCAGATAATCTGGGTCGTCTTTATCCGATTGAGAAGACTCGAAGGGATATGTTATTTC